GCCTGTATTAGAGGATTTACGGTAGTAGCATAACTTTCTCTGTTGGCTGGCTCTGTGTTTTTGTCTGACTTCACTGTGACTGTTAGAGGTAAACTGGGGTTTAATGGAGACCGGTGATTTGTTTTGTTGATGCCTGAAGGCAAAAGCCGACAGTGAAACTAGCTTGTTTGAAGGCAGTGAATCCTGGAGCTGTGTTCTTTCCAGCATGTCGAATGCCCAGTATTCACACATTACAAGTGTCTGTAGCTCTGCCGTTGCTGTCCACTTAAAATACCACCAAGCTGCAGATACTTCAGCTCTCCTGAGGAGACACGTTAGCTCAGTGTTAGCAGGCTTGCTAACAGCAGCACTTGGTGTCTCAGTCTCTGCCTGCTGTAAATTGTGTGACGTTAGTGTTGTTTTCATACAAGAAACAAATATGATTGATGTGGATGGACTTAAATTGGTGGACTGGAATTCAGTGTTGTGCCCGAACGCGTTCATGAATGATCGTTCGTGAATTTGTTCGTTTTTTTTTTCGTGAACGTGAACTGAACTCGTTCGAATTTTGCCTGACGAACGTAAAAGTGAGTGCGTTCGTCCTGGCATGCGTGAACGGAATTATGAATGCGTTCTTTTGCAGTTCTAGCTCCAGATCTCCACGGAGCTTTTCCGTAGCAAAGCCTAGCTAAAACATCCTGTTAACCATAGAGTTTACAAAAAGTAGAACCCGCAAATGCAGCCAAACATAGGCAGTAGCATTTGGTGCAGCGTCTACTCTTCTACGTCTACGCTGTGTGCAGGAGTCAAAGTTCATTCAGAAAAGCTGAAAAGGGACTTAACTGAAAGATGATACATTTCTGAATGTTTTGCAATTTTAATATTGCACTTTGAGTTTGCTACCTCAGCCTACTTCATAACATTGTTTAATAATTTCCCATAAAATAATGTTTTCCTCATGTTATTGAGAATATACTGTAGGGTAAAAACTGCAGCTGGGTATGAGTGTGGACTGAACGGTGCCAGCTGTTGGAAAATTATTCCATAAGTTATATATATGGGAGAAAAAAGAACTATGAACTAGTTCGTTTTTGGAACAGTGAACTTAGTTCAAAATTTTTAAAATTATGAACTAAGAAACAAACTAGTTCATTTTAAAATGTATGAACTGAACTTTGAACTAGTTTGTTTTTTTAAACTAACTTTCCCAACCCTGCTGAAATTAAAACTGAGCCCTTTTTATTCTATTTGAAAATCTCGGTCTCAGGACTGAGATACCAGTCTACATGTGTTTTGTGGATTTGGAGAAGGCGTTCGACCACGTACCCCGGGGGGCCCTGTGGGGGTACTCTGGGAGTATGGGGTACCAAGCCCTTTGATAAGGGCTGTTAGGTCCCTGTATGACCGGTGGCAGAGCTTGGTCCACATTGCCGAGCATGTTTCCAGTGAGAGTTGGACTCCGCCAAGGCTGACCCTGGTCACCGATTCTGTTCATAACCTTTATGGACAGGATTTCTAGGAGCAGCCAAGGTGTGGAGGGCATCCGTTTTGGTGGCCTGAGGATCAGGTCTCTGCTTTTTGCAGATGGTGTGGTCCTGTTGGCTTCATCAGAACGTGATCTTCAGCTTTCGCTGGAGCGGTTCGCAGCCGAGTGTGAAGCAGCTGGGATGAGAATAAGCTCCTCTAATTCTGAGACCATGGTCTTGAGTCAGAAAAGGGTAGAATGCCTTCTCCGGGTCAGGGATGAGGTCCTGCCCCAAGTGGAGGAGTTGAAGTATCTCGGGGTCTTGTTCACGAGTGAGGGAAAACTGGAGCGTGAGGTCGATAGGCGGATTGGTGCTGCGTCTGCAGTGATGCGGGCGTTGTACCGGTCTGTCGTGGTGAAGAGAGAGCTGAGTCAGAAGGCGAAGCTCTCGATTTACCGGTCGATCTACGTTCCTACCCTCACCTATGGTCATGAGCTTTGGGTAGTGACCGAAAGAACGAGATCGCGGATACAAGCGGCCGAAATGAGTTTCCTCCTGCTAATCCTCCACATCGAGAGGAGCCAGTTGAGGTGGCTCGGGCATCTGGTCAGGATGCCTCCTGGACACCTCCCTGGTGAGGTTTTCCGGGCACGTCCAACCGGGAGGGGGCCTAAAGGTAGACCCAGGACACGGTGGAGGAGCTATGTCTCTCACCTGGCCAGGGAAGGCCTTGGGATTCCCCCGGAGGAGCTGGCCCAAGTGGCTGGGGAGAGGGAAGTCTGGGCCTCTCGCCTTAGGCTGCTGCCCAACTCCGGATAAGCGGATGAAAATGGATGGATGGATGGAAATCCGATTTATTTCTCCTGATTCTGATCCTTTCAAAAACATGTGATCGGGCCCGATTTCTGATCACATGATCGGATTGGAGCATCCCTAGTTTGAGGTCAAAGTTCAGAGAATTTATAGCAAATGAAGTGTGAGATAAATTTCTTGGTTCAAAAATAATTGAGTCAGTCTTGAACTCATTTAGTCTGAGAAAGTTAGCCGCTAACCATCGCTTCATGGGATTCATCTAACAGTGAGTGAGTCTGTGTTTGGTCCAATTGTCGCCAGACAGATCAGGAAATCGTCAGCGTAGATATGGTAACTGATACCAGACCTCTCAAAAGTCGTTACCAAAGGGAGAATATAGGTGCGAAATAGGGGGGGGGGGGGGCCCAGAACAGAACCTTGAGGCACCTCCCCCAATCAAATGGGAGAGTGGGTGAGGCACGATCACAAATCTGCACACTGAAGGGCCTATTTGAACCACTTGTTTTGGGCGACTTCTGCCGATGTCATTCCCTACCATGTTACAACCAGTCAGTGTGAGTTCACCAAAAGTTCCACTCAGCAACTCTACCAAGCCATTTCCAGTTCCTACCCCAGCTCAGGTACTCTGTTAGTTTCTGAAAATGGTGCTTTGGTCGGACCGTTGAAGTGGAAGCACGCAGGAAGCTCTGGTAAAATGACCCGGGAGTTCTGATTGTGGAAACACGCCTCATGTTTCTCAGCTAGCCGGGGAGGGAAGTCTGGACCTCTCCACCTGGGCTGCTGCCTCTGCGACCTGACCCCAGATGGATGGACGGTTGTGAGCGTGTCCCTGCTCTCTGCTCTACATGCTCGTTGGGTTTTTTGTATTCGAGGGGAAACTGGTTTTAGTTCAGATGGCAGAAAACAGCACAGCCTCCTTCGTTTTCATCCTCTCCCTCTGAGAGACGTTAGAGGTTTTCTGAATGAAGCGTGACTCGTCTCCCTCTCTCCACATCATGGTCTCCATGGCGACGGGGTGGCACAGATGACGAGCCTCTATATTTACTCTGTTGCTGTAGTGACAGTTGAGAGCTCCACCAAGGCTGAGGGAGAGTAAACTTCTGTGTTGATGTGGAGCTCTGCGGTGGGGGAGGCTGGGCTCCTCTAGGAGGTCAGAGAGCTGACACCTGAACATTACAACCTCAGGAGAACATCAAACACTTCATCAGTTGTTGTTTCTGCTCAGAATAAAGACCTTTGATTTACCATCCTGTCACCTTTTTACCCAGAATCCCCTGTTTCCTCAGGCTGGCGCTAGGCTGACCTCCTGATCTGAACGTGTGACACCTCTGCCTGAAGCTTCACGACCTGATGAATAATGGAGACGTTATTCCTGAACTCCGTAATCCGTCTGGATTCATCTGGATGAGCTGCTGCTCAAACCAGGAATTTCAGATGATTCCAAAATGTTTTTCCTCTGACAGACTTCATTTCTGCTCCTGATCAAGACCAAAGCAGGATCCTGCTTTAGCACTCCAGAAGATCTGATTTCAGAGCTCCGAGATGAGACCTGCAGGGTCAGAGGTGTGGCACCGTCAGCTGTTTGCTGTTGTTGTTGATGATCATCTGTTTCTGCGCTTCATAAAAATCAGCTGGAACAAAAAAAACTACTCCAGCATCTCCACAGAGGGAACACACACACACACACACACACACACACACACACACACACACACATTTATATGAAGGGTTTCTGACTGCAGCCTTTGACACTGTTGACCATGACCATGGGGCAATGGTGACACAGGAGTTAAGCCCCCCCTTTCAGCCCATTTTAGACCAAGCAGGTAAACGACACAGCATTTCCCCCATCCAACCAGCAAAATAAGGTCCAAAAACAACATTACGCTACATTACACAGACACTGGTGGGGCGCTAGGACCAAGCAGAAAACAACCACTTGTGTTGAAGCCTGTTCCCATTAGAACTGTCTATAAGCTCATCTATTGTCTCTGCTGATACTCGCTAACATGTGATTGGTCGCTCCTGCCAAATGTGAACTTGACATTTCTGCATTCCTGACATCGCATAAAAGAGCATCTAGGCTGTAGTTTTATACATACTTTTGTATACTTACAGTAAAGACCCAACCCCCCCCCCCAACCCCCACCCCCCCCATGCATCCATGCACAGAGGACACAACTAAAATTCAGAGAGTCGAAATGGTTAAACATCTGTTAACATGAGGCTCAGGTTGAGGCCTTCCCTGGAGCTAGCTCCTAGCACTAGCTCTGATACCCATGCTACCTGACAATCAAATCTTATTACTCATAATTTCAGGCATCTAATACACTTAAACAGAAGAGTTACAAAACAATTCACCCCCTCAGAGGTGTCACGAGTGTGAACTAGATCTATTAAACCTAGGATGGTTTCTGAACCAGGCTGTAAACATGTTTATTTCTGCTGTGAAATGGCTTTTTTTAACATGGGAGTCAACGAGGATTTGCTCTCTTCTGCTGCCAGTCCCTAGTGGATGAGGGTGGAACTGCAACTTTTGCCACTTCTGTGTTGGGAGCAGTTGTGGATTCGTGGGGTGACCCCTTGGTCTCTCCAAAGACAAACTCATTTCTCTGTGAACTCTGTCGAGTCCAAACCAACAGAGAGGATTTAAATCTGCTGACAGCAGGGCTGTTCTACCCTGGCCTGTTTAGTGACCTCACACAGAAGAGGATTCAGCCTTCTGCGTTCCCACGTGTTTACCTTCGGATTGAGGACCAGCTGGTGCTCGTTGTGATGCAGCAGAGCCACAGAGTTGGACTCAGAGTTGTTCACAAAGACCTGGAGGCAGGGGTAGAGGGCCGTCCCCTTACAGTCAGCTCCACACGTAAAAACGCATTCAAACATCTCCTCAGGACGCAACACAGACACCACCTGGAGGGAGGAAATGAAAGATTAACAGAAGCACCAAACATCCAATCACCCGCAGGGGATTCAGCGGCTCTAGCGCCAGGTTTTTAAACCAGAAACCATGTAGATCAACACCCAAACTACTCCGGATTAATGCACATAATACAGTGGATTAACACCCCAACTGCCAGATTGATACACAAAATACCTCAGATTAACACACTCTACCACAGATAAATACCACAGATTAACTCATAGACCACCATAGATTAACACACAAGTTAAAGTAAATGACACCCAAAATGATGTAGAGTAACACTCAAATTACCACAGATTAACTCCTAAAACAGCACAGATTACCAATGAAGACCCATGGGGGGGGGCCCATTTTGCAAAAGAGCAAGCATTCTCTGCAAATGTGTGAAGGATGCACATGAATCCAGCGTCGCACGCATCGGGCACCCTCAGTCCAGGCAGGAGGAGCGCCTTGGGGGGTTGTAGAACCCTAAGAAGGCACTATGCTAGTACAGACCATGTACTATTTAGCATAATGAACTGATAAGTAAGTTCAGGTGAGATATTTACTTTGTGAAGTGCCTTGAGACAACTCTTGCCACGATTTGATGCTTTATAAATAACCTGAACTGAATTAAATCTATGAAGCCTACATGGACTAGGGCAGTGATTCCCAATCCTCAGGGCCCACTGTCCTGCATGTTTTCCATGTTTCCCTTTAGAACACCAGTGTTTCCCTGCAGCCACGCCTGACTTGAAGGAATGAGTGATGAACAGACATCGGCAGCACTTGATGTCCTCATGAGGAGGCGATGTACACCAGGTGTGCTGAAGCAGAGACACGGAAAACATGCAGGTCAGGACCAGGGCCCTGACGTATCAAACATTCGTAGAAATAATCCTAAATTCCTTCCTATGAACAAAATCTAGAACGTTCATACGAACGGTAAAACTCCTGATTTCCATCCATCCATCCATCGTCTGAACCCGCTTTGTCCACGTAGGGTCGCCGGGGGGTGGGGGTGGGGGGGGGGGGTCTGGTGCCTATCTCCAGAGGTCAATGGGCAATCAGGCGGGGTACACCCTGGACAGAGAGCCAGTCCATCACAGAAACTCCTGATTTATGAAACGTAACGATTAATCCCACCTGTGCTGCCCAGGTGCTCGTGTCCGTTCTCAGTCATTTACATACAGGAAGGCCCTCAATTAACCATATTTGGTCACGCTACGTCTGCAGCACGCAAGGGAATTCCCACGTTCTACCCGGAAAAAAGAAAACTTGTGAGATGGAGACACTTTCTGCCAAAGTGCAAACGAACCAAACGAGTAGCAGAGTTTCTAACCGCGGTCAGGACGAGGAGAGGTTCCTGTCAGGAATAAATAAAACTTTAGTCTGATGAACCGTAGAGTAACGGGTTCTCGTTTACATTTAAGGAGTCCTTCTGGATGGAGTTCGTTTTATTAGCAAATGTCTGAGTGCAGCCTCTCAGCTGTCATTCAGTCTGGTTACCATGACAACGTGTGTGTGATGGGAGCAGAGGAGGTTCTGGAGGTTCTGGTAGATGTAAAATAAAACATGGACCGGAATCAGATTTGTGCGGTTTACCTGGGATTCCAAATCCCAGCATGGCTCCAGACGGATCTGCCGTCAGTGCGCTCACGCGTTTCCTCCAGAGGAGCTCTGACAGGTCCTTCATAACAGTATAGAAATGATCTTTTATCTAACAAGGACAAAAATATAATACAATTACATTAAAAATAATATTAATTATTTAAAAAGATTAAAAACATCATAAAAACTGGAACAGATTACAAAAACGCCACATCCGTTCTACAGAGTCAGATTCCCGTCGGGTGTTGCAGCACCAGTCATGCGACTCAGCACCAGTCGTGTGACTCAGCACCAGTCATGTGACTCAGCACCAGTCGTGTGACTCAGCACCAGTCATGCGACTCAGCACCAGTCGTGTGACTCAGCACCAGTCATGCGACTCAGCACCAGTCATGTGACTCAGCACCAGTCATGCGACTCAGCACCAGTCATGTGACTCAGCACCAGTCGTGTGACTCAGCACCAGTGTATGACTCAGCACCAGTCGTGTGACTCAGCACCAGTCGTGTGACTCAGCACCAGTCATGTGACTCAGGACCAGTCGTGTGACTCAGCACCAGTGTATGACTCAGCACCAGTCGTGTGACTCAGCACCAGTCATGTGACTCAGCACCAGTCATGCGACTCAGCACCAGTCATGTGACTCAGCACCAGTCGTGTGACTCAGCACCAGTGTATGACTCAGCACCAGTCGTGTGACTCAGCACCAGTCGTGTGACTCAGCACCAGTCATGTGACTCAGGACCAGTCGTGTGACTCAGCACCAGTGTATGACTCAGCACCAGTCGTGTGACTCAGGACCAGTCTTTGACTCAGCACCAGTGTATGACTCAGCACCAGTCGTGTGACTCAGCACCAGTCATGTGACTCAGGACCAGTCTTTGACTCAGCACCAGTGTATGACTCGGCACCAGTCGTGTGACTCAGCACCAGTCATGTGACTCAGGACCAGTCTTTGACTCAGCACCAGTGTATGACTCAGCACCAGTCGTGTGACTCAGCACCAGTCATGTGACTCAGCACCAGTCGTGTGACTCAGCACCAGTCATGTGACTCAGGACCAGTCTTTGACTCAGCACCAGTGTATGACTCAGCACCAGTCGTGTGACTCAGCACCAGTCGTGTGACTCAGCACCAGTCATGTGACTCAGCACCAGTGTATGACTCAGCACCAGTCATGTGACTCAGCACCAGTCGTGTGACTCAGCACCAGTCATGTGACTCAGCACCAGTGTATGACTCAGCACCAGTCATGTGACTCAGCACCAGTGTATGACTCAGCACCAGTCATGTGACTCAGGACCAGTCTTTGACTCAGCACCAGTGTATGACTCAGCACCAGTCATGTGACTCAGCACCAGTCGTGTGACTCAGCACCAGTCATGTGACTCAGCACCAGTGTATGACTCAGCACCAGTCATGTGACTCAGCACCAGTGTATGACTCAGCACCAGTCATGTGACTCAGCACCAGTCATGTGACTCAGCACCAGTGTATGACTCAGCACCAGTCATGTGACTCAGCACCAGTCGTGTGACTCAGCACCAGTCGTGTGAATCAGCACCAGTCATGTGACTCAGCTGTTTTTCCACTGAAATATAAAATAATTAGTGGATGAGGAACATGTGTGGATGACTGAGACCTTCAGTGGTCCCGTTCTACCACTAGATGTTCCTACACATGGTCTGAAGTTGTCTGGTGTTTAGGAACATTTCCACCCACAGGTACAACATGATGAACACCACACAGTGTGTACGTTAGTTCCTACGCCTGATTTACGCACAGACCCGTGTCTAAGCACGGTCGCTACACGACGGTCTGGGTTGGGCTCAAGAACATGGAGGCTTGACTTGGCATACTTGGTGCAGATTTAGAGACAAACAAGAAGATCATCAGCCTGTTATTTTCATCTGAACAACGCGTTCAACAAGCTGCTAAAAGCTCATCTGGTGATTTCTGGGATATTTGAGCAGATACCAGAGTAGACTTCCTCACTGGCTCCTTGGAGTAAAAATAAAACCGCTGCAGTCACCAGAGTGATGCGGTAAGCTAGCAGCCTGATAAATTATGCTTCATACATTTATCATCGTCAGCGAAGTGCATGCCGTGGAGGCCGGTGATTTATTTCATGCAGGTTTAAAACAGTTTTAAAGACGTACGGCGATGCAGCATGACGGGCTGAACAGAGACTAATCCCCTTTGCACTGACAACAAAAATAAGATTACAGTAAGTAAATTAGAGGCGGTCTGAGGTTTGTTAAGCACACATTTGAAGCAATTAAGCTTCCTGTCAAAGCAAAGCTGGTTGTGAGTGGTATGTCTTGTAAGGATGAGCTGCTGTGATCAAAACGTCTGAAAGTTAAAGGTTAACCAATAAGAGCTGATTACAGGTCAGTTCTTCAACTTCAGTTTATTCTCTCATCTGAAGATGGAAGCTCAAAGTACTTAAATAAATGGCCTGTGTGTGACATGGCGCCTTCTAGAGTCCTAGAACCCCCCAAGACACTTTACAACATAATCACATGACCAATAGATGTGCATGGAGACTTCTTCTCCTGGCACTCACAGAGCACAGACGCTTCTGCTTTGCTCCCTTATCTTTTTTTCCCAAGGCTCTTTGTCCTGTCTGCCCACAGAGCACTTCTCTGCATTTCTTCTGAAAAACCCTATTTTTTAGAATGGATTTAATTAATTGGTCATTCAACGCGATTGATAAGATTTTTTCTACGATGAGAACGGAGGAGAGGGCTCCCACTTGCCCTCATGGGACACACGCAGCGGGATATATGCTCCATTCCTGGAAGGAGTGGAATGTCATCTGTCTCTCTCAGCTGTCCATTGAGGACATTGAAGATGTGTGGATATTTGGCCTGATGATCACTGGATTTCTTCTGATTGGAGTGGGAGGATATCTGGATTTCCGGAAAATTGGGAAGACGGGAGCGATTGGAGGGCGACCCGCACCCATGGACGGCACCGTCCGGGCGGAGACCTCACAGACTGGGACGTTACTCGAGGTGAATCGTAAGCTGGACAATGTTCTAGCTGCGTTACCGGTATTAGTGCGCAAAATGGATGTCATCTCGGAGAGAGTCACCGGACGGTGTGGAGATGTTTAATAACTCGAATTGGCTTCACTGAAGGACTGGAATGATCAGTTACAGACTGAAGGCAGAGGGGAAAATTTATCTCTGCCTGACCCAAACAAAGTCTTGTTAACCAAATCTGACGCCAAGGCAGCCTTGAAGCTGCTAACAACAACCCCCACGAAGGAAAGAATGCAGACAGATGCTGTGGAAACCAGCCCCCCCCACCCCCCCCCCCACCCCCCCCCCACCCCACCCGCCTTCAGATTGTGGACTTCTGCATAGCGAGGCCATCAACCTGCAGGAACTAA